AGCAACAACAGCAGCAACAACGACAGCAGCAACAACAGCAGCAACAACAACAAATGGTACACATAATTCAGGTGACTTACTTGATTTTTAAAGTCACACCCACAGGGATCCCAACACTTATCGTGGCACCCAGATGACTATGTTGAGATATCTTGGTTTCTACTCCATATTCAAGTATGCTACCAAATACCCCTGTCCTGTAAAACAACATTAGATCAAATAAGTGTATCCAACCATATATCACACATGCTGTGGGCAGATATAAAGCATGCAGAGATTGACTGAAGATGAGAGAAGTGTTAGGAGAAGCATGGCGCATAGTGGAGTGCTTCTCCACAATTCTTAAGTGTTCTGGCAATCCCAAGTGCTTTATAACTGCATACAGCATAGCAATTGTAGCAATTTTTTTCCTCTATAAAATACAAATTAGAAGAGTCATAATCTTGGATACGAATGACGAATCTAAGTAGGTGTGCAGGCTGTGTGCTCTCATAATGCATGCACCTCCAGCCTATCAGAAAGCAAGATTACAGCTGTAGCTATTTTATAACTTACATATTTTTAAAAAGAATGAAATGGAACAAGAATGAATGGCAAGAGGTTTGAGAACAATTTTTTTTCAAGTTTCTTACTTAAAAGCTCCCTTTATTCTTGTATTTTCTAGTTTTCGAGTGTAGGATGCAACAGCAAAGGTATTTGGAATTCCAAGCTACAAAAAAAAATCATCATCATTATCAACAACATCATTATCATCAACGCCATCACCACCATCAATGCCATCATCACAATCACAATCATCAACACCATCATTATCATCACCATCAGTGGACCATCATCACATTCATCAACACCATCATCATCATCATCAACACTATCATCACCGTCATCATCACAATCATTAACACCATCATCATCATCACCATCAGTGCCATCATCACATTCATCAACACCATCATCATCATCACCATCATCATTATCACCATCAGTGAACATCATCAAATTCATCAACACCATCATCACAATCATCAACAGCATCAGCATCAGCATCATCACCGTCATCATCACAATCATCATCATCATCATCATCATCACCACCATCACCAACACCACCATTGCTAAAAGAAGCATTATCATGATAATTACGTCTGCTAACAACAAAGATTACTAATGTATTACCTGTAGAACCAATAGTGCTCTGCTATGTTCAGTTTCTCTTACTACCGTTGTGTTCATACAAGAATGAATACCAGCCCTCCACGTCAGGTAACCATTGACGTTTTTACTTAGCTGGCGTGCTATCACTTAATGTCAAAATATTAAAAAACAAAGTTAAAACAAATATTTTGTGTTTCTGAAGACCATTTACTGCAATTTTTAGCAAATGTGCAAATTCTGTGTCTGCAAGCTGCGTGCTGAAATTTTATTTTTCACTGTCGTCAATCAAACCTAATCAGTCAGTACCTTTCATTTTTTTGACTGGCGGCAGTGAAAAACCGAATCTAGTAAACACTGCATATAAGTAGAGTTGTTTGTTGGTTCTCTTCTGTGCTTTGAGGGTTTTTCTCCCTGTTATCTACTCCATTTTTTTCTTTGTTTGAAAAAATGCATGAACATTGTCGGTAGATTCTTACTTGCTTCAAAACCAACTTGTAGCACATCGCCTTTAAGCTGAACATTGATTCCAGATGTGCCATAACTGTGCCAAGTAAAGAAATACAAAATTATCGATAACCTGGAAGTTGAAATTTCATTGATGTACCCTACRATCATGGCTATAACCTTTTAGGGGAGCATGGGCTGCGTCACTCAACTCTCACTAATGAAACCCAGGTGCGGATCCGGGATTTTCAAAATAGGGGTGATTTTTTGCAATAAATAGGCAACAAAGGCTGGAGCAATTATTGAGGTCCGTGCATGATCTCTCAGGAATTTTTGAATTTGAGACCCACAGAAATGCAATTTTTAAAGCATTTAAAAATATTAAAGATTATTATTTCTCATCAATCATTTCCCTTTTGCTCATCTCCCCCCCACGACAGATAACAACTTAAATATGAAATTTGAAGACATAACTGCTCAGAAAAGGGGGGGGGGGGGGGTGAAAATTCACCAAATTCACCCCCTGGACCTGCCCCTGCAACCTGGGTTTGATTCCCAGGCTTGAACAGTGTCATATGTGAGTAGAATTACTTGTTGGTTTTTTTCCTGTGCTTTTCTCTAGGTCTTCTCTCTTGATCTTTGGGCTTTCTTAKCTGGAGCAAGGCTCTGTTGTGATTGTCCCATGCTGTGATACAACAGCCAAAGCAAAAGCACAGGAGAGAGCCAACAAAGAGCTCTACTCATATATAACACCAAGTCTGTGAGTCAACCCTGGGTCATATTCATAGCTCCGACTCCCCATATTTACCATTGCTATGTCCCTCAAAATGAACAAATTATCTATAATATCTCAGAATTTAAAACTCTGGTTGCGGAAAATAAATCATAAATTGCTTCAATTGTTTCAAATCCTAAGTAAATAAAAGAAAATTGCCTCATGATCCTTGTAATGCTCTTTAAAAGAAATAATGTGTTAATTATTTGTGGGATAAGATTTTACTTTGCGGATACTCCAACCGGAACCACTTTGATAAACTAGTATCATTAACCAATCATATTCCGACATTTTCTTTAACCAGCCAATCAGATAAAGCATCAATAAAATAAGAGCATGAGAACGTGATAATCTGATTGGCTAACACTGTTACCAGTTCAATCTCTGTCTAGTTTACTTTTATCTGATTGGTCAGTTTTATTCAAGAGATCCCGGTTAGTGTGTCCACACAGTAATTCCTCTGAGAAAACTGCTACAACGGTGATTGGTTTGCTGTTGTCTGAGTCGGAACTATAAATTGGTGAGAGGCAACGTTTAATCAATGCACATCACTCACTCATGCTTCTCACAAATTTTACTGGTAACAGTGCTCCATTTAAAAATGTACTTTTGAAAGTCATTACCCACCAGTGGGATTATCCTACATCTAAACCAATCAGAATTAAGTATAATAATTACGTTTTAGGTATGCGCACCTATCCCTCATATAGACCAATCACTGGATAACCAAGTTATATGAAGAGAAAACCTTACAGCTAGTAAGTGGTAAAAGTCTATTAATTACCTTCTTCTTGTAAGATTTCTGAATCCTCGTAATGCAATGTTAGGACCAGTGCCAGCTCCAACCTCAAACTACATTTTCAAAAAGAAGTGGTAATAAAATTGCAAAAAAAATCCTTAATTTCAAAATTGTTTTTCATCTTCAGTAAATCTAAATTAAGTTTCAGAAAACGTATGTTTTTTCAACAGTACATAGCTTATCAAAAATAAATGCCTCAATCCATTTTGTTCTCAATCAACTCCCAGTTCACCACGAGTTTGATCCTAAGCACCCAGTTTAATCAAAGACAATCAAAGCATTCAATAATTATTCAAAATCAGGCAAATAATTATTACTGCAATTTTTAATTATATTAGTCACCAAGTGATTAACTTTGATTGGCAGCAGAGAAAATAAATAAATAAATAAATAAACAATAAATAAATAAAATAAAATTTCAGTTGCAGCTATGAGTTCATGTAATATTGAATACTGCTAAAAAGAGCCAGCCCTGAGCACACCCTGTGCTTTGCTTGACTGGTTGGCTGCAACCTCTTACCTCACCCCAAGCTTTGCTGGACAAAACCCTTCTTATTGAAGCAGAAATATTTCCAGTTCCAATACCATTTCCAACACCAAGATTGCCTGATAATGTTGCCGTATCTCTTCTTGTCAATGGAGCCTGAATTGAGAATGAAATTATCATGATATTTTAGTAACAAAGGCGATACCATCAGCCCAATCTGTTGTGGAGTTAAGAAGAGATAACTAGCTAAAAACTAGTGTGAGCTGTGTCGGTGTCTCTAATGAAACAGTAATGATTAAAGGGTAAATTATACACCGTGAAAAGATGAAAGAACTTACTGACGTTTCAGACACTAGTCCTTCGTCGGTGGAGTTAGATATCTAATGCTAGTTGATCTGTACTGAAAATTGTTGTTACTATTACAGTCTGTGGTGGAGTTAGATGACTAATGCTAGTTGATCTGTACTGAAAATTGTTGCTGCTATTACAGTCTGTGGTGGAGTTAGATGACTAATGCTAGTTGATCTGTACTGAAAATTGTTGTTGCTATTCCAGTCTGTGGCGGAGTTAGATGACTAATGCTAGTTGATCTGTACTGAAAATTGTTGTTGCTATTCCAGTCTGTGGTGGAGTTAGATGACTAATGCTAGTTGATCTGTACTGAAAATTGTTGTTGCTATTCCAGTCTGTGGTGGAGTTAGATGACTAATGCTAGTTNTGTGGTGGAGTTAGATGACTAATGCTAGTTGATCTGTACTGAAAATTGTTGTTGCTATTCCAGTCTGTGGTGGAGTTAGATGACTAATGCTAGTTAATCTGTACGAAAATCTTCAGATTAAAATAAAAACATAGTTCAACAGCATACCTCTATAGACTGCATGATCGTCATATTGCTTATTTCAATATTGGGTAAGGTCCTTCAAGAACAAAACAATGCAACAGTCATATATAGCTCAGTCATGTCTCATTTATGTCCTGGGTCAATGTTACTTTGCAAAACAACCGGCAGGGCAAAGATTTGACCAGACAAGTTCCAATTCAGGGCAGACATTGTCTGATGACTGCCTGTTATTTTAAGCCCTGAAACCCTAAAAACTAAATGGGCAGCTAGCTGCATGTTATTTGAAAATTGTCTTCTAACTTGTGTTTACGGTAAACAAACCTCTCTCCAGTGGACATTCTTTGTAATGCTGACAACAAGTAATGATCTCAAAGGTGTTCTCTTAATAGAGGTACCACTGCAGGGCTTAAAATAACGGCCAATCAGTCAACGGTTATGATCACAGGCCAAATTAGTACAGTAATAGCTTAATCATACCTCATTTCTAGCTAAAAGTTACTAGTCAAAATGACCGGCAAGGCAGAGATTTACCGGACAAGTTCAAGTTCTGCCTGGGCATTGTTCAATGTTTGGCCTGTATTTTAAGCYCTGCACTGTATCTGAATATTGTATAATGTCACCAGAAGCTAAAAAATGTTTTGCATTTATTACTAACCTGTCTTCAAAGACATCAAAATTATCAAACAGATCAGTTGCATCAACACCAACAGATATGTTACCCTGTTAAGTAAGGAAAAAGATGATTAGAAAAGATTAACTTGATATCATAGTCATCATGTTACAATAAATGCAAGTATTTTGCTATTGATGGTTTGTTACGAGTATGCGGAGAAAAGTTGCAAAAAATCAAATTCCTTTTATATCCCCAATATAACCCCTTTGGTGAACTATTTTCAAAAAACATTAAAAACTTCTGCAGCTTGTTATTTTTTTCAAAATTAAGCAAAGTCGATTTTTTTGTCAATTAGGCAATCAGCTGGCTATGAGGCAAAAATTAGGCATATTGAATGATTCTTTATTTTTACAGACAGTCGCTATTAAGTCTCAAATTCTACTACACCCTACCTCTGGGCTGATCTAAGTCAGGGCATGGCTAACTCACAGATTGAACCCTAAAACAACCTCTGGGCTGATCTAAGTCAGGACATGGCTAACTCACAGATCAAACCCTAAAACAACCTCTGGGCTGATCTAAGTCAGGCCATGGCTAACTCACAGATAGAACCCTTAACCAACCTCTGGGCTGATCTAAGTCAGGGCATGGTAAGATGGAAGTGAAATTTAGTGACTGATTTTTTGGAGGGAGAAAACCGGAGATCCCAGGAAAAACCTTGCCTTAGGGTTTGTCCTTTGTTGTAGTCTTCTTTCTTCCTGTTCTCTCTGAAGCTGCTCATACTCTGCTTGGATCTAAATCAAACAAATTCATTTGATAAATAATTTTGTTATAAAAAATAATCCAAAATTTTTAGGTTCAAATGTTGGCTTGATAAAGTGTTGGGATCCCTGTGGTTCCACAGGCAACCCACACYTTTAATGTGTGACATACATAATATTATACATCTAAAGCTAGTTATACAACATTCATAGTTTTCTTCCCAATATAATTATTGCGATAGTTTATCAGATCAGTACCTCTGCTGGGGTGCGTTTTCTTTCTACAACCTGAAATGAAAATAGAAAGTGGTCTTTCTTAGCGTCTATACAAACACTACACTGGATATCAAAAGAAGATTCAGCAATTTTTAAAGTACTGTAGGAGACTCTCTTGATGAAATAAGTGGCTATATTCCATACTAGATTAATACAGTCAACTCTCGTTACAGCGGACACCCTCGGGACCATCACTTCATGTCCGTAATAGCGAACGTCCGCAATAGCGAAAATGATTTACGGACATTTCTTCGTCATTATTTTTGTCTCGGATTTTTTTTCTGTCTGTAATAGCAAGGTGTCCGTAATATCGGGGTGTTCGCAAGGCGAGAGTTGACTGTATTATTGAATCAGACTTTCAGTGAGTCAGTCAATCAATCGATCGATCTATCAACCAATCAATCGACTTTATTTAAGGGGGTTGACAAATAACAGTTTTCACTGACAAATTTATGACCCCATCTAAAAATTACATATAATTAAATAAAATAAAAACTAATTACTTTCACATTAATTTTTCTAGAGAAATAGCAGGCAGTGATAGATAAAGTACCCAATCAACTGCCAATATAACCATCTTCTATTGTTCACTTCTGATCAAATATGCAAAAAAGGTCTTTAATGCCTTCAACCAGAATACATATGTGTATTTATCTGCCTACTTTTGGATGCTTGGTTTGAGCTCATGATTTGCATGCACACCAAAACTGCTGAATAACCTTCAAAATTTTATTGAAGAACCCTATTCATTTTGAACTTCAAGAGGGCAAAACCCTTAAACTTTGAACGGGACTCCATACTTATTATAGGCTTACAGTAATTGAAATAACTTTCGTACATCATTGTAGGTGGTTTCAAAAAAAATTAAAAAAAAAATTTTTCTAACACAAAAAAAAGCATCCAGACTCTTTAACAATGATAATAAAGGATCAATTGGTAATCATTATCAGGACGTCATGAATCTTACCTCCCAACCAGCATCCAGACCCTTTTGTCCATACACATCATAAATAGCTCTAGTCTCTGAATCATTAAGAACTGAAACCATATAAAAAACCAATATCTGTAATATGAGTTTTCAATTATGGCGACTGTATTTATAACTACACTTACTAAAGTTTAAATGGAGCTAAAGAAAATTTAGGCAAAGTTAAAGTCTAGGCATGCTGGCCAGTGGTCGTTGGTTACTGCGGGGGTGCCTTCAGGGGCTTCATAGCACATGACATATGGTACGTTTGTTGATCGTAATGGATCAAAACGTTGCGCTCGACCATCTATCTATGCATTGATTCCATCTATCTGTTCCTTCATCAACCCACTCATCTAACTATCCATCCCATCCATCTATCCATCCATGTTTGAATGCATCCACTCATTCATTCATCCATCCATCCAAACATCCATCTATGCATTGATTCCATCCATCTGTTCCTCCATCAACCCACCCACGAATCCATCCATCCATCCCATCATCTCATCTATCCATGCTCGTATACATCTACTCATCCATCCACACCCAAACATCCATTAATACATGCATTAATCAATGCCTCCATGCATTTATCCATCATTCAATGCATCTATCCATGCATCCATTCAATTGGTCAACAAATAAAATAATCTTAACAAGTCGCTCATAGATTTCTATTGACTGTCCTTTTATTGATCATACAGAATAACGTCTGTAGATGTCGTCTAAAAATGTTTAAATGAATTTTAAATTATTATTATTTTAAGTTTTAATAGTATATAAGAAAGATTCTTACCATCATAAGCCTTTTGTATCTTACTAAACAGCTGTACAGCAGCCTATAAACGATACAACAAACCAACTAAGTCTAACAGCTTTAAATAACCTAGAGAGAGGTCGTTTCTGATTTTACCGTTTTCTTGGCGGGATCCAAGTGCTTATCGGGATGATACAACACACACATGCGTCTGTAAGCAGAGCGTAATTCTTCATCTGTTGCCTAAAAAAATATCAATATGGAAGCACAAATGAGAAAAATGACACTTGTTGAGATGATTTGTTAGGAGAAAGAGAGGGCATTTACTTGTTTTCTGACGTTTAACACGCCATAATAGTCGATGTCGTCTTCTTGTCCTTCGTCTTGATCCGCCATTTTGAATATTGGTCTGATGTCTACCACAGGAAGCCCAAAACATCATTCAAGAATAAATTTTGAAAAATCATGTTTTTGTCTGGAAATTATAACCCTAAAAAAACAGTATTTTTAGTTAGTATTTGTTGATTTTATTACATAAACATTGCACAAATAGTAAAGAAGTCCATTGAAACTYTTTGGAAAAAGATTGTTTTAAAACCATAGACTGTTATTAGGGGCTGTTAACAGTCTAATAAAAGAGATAACTAGCTAAAAACTAGTGAGCTTCGTCGGTGTTTCTACTAAAACAGTGATGATAAAAGTGTAAATTTTACACCGTGAAAAGATGAAAAAACTTAATGACGTTCCAGACGCTAGTCCTTCGTCTAATAGAAGTTGGGCTACCTGTGTCCAGAATTGCAGGCATCTGATTGGTTGACACACCTTCTTTTTACTACTAAATATGGCAGACCGCATGACAAAAAATGATCGCCTGATTTCGTGTCAAACTTGGCTTTTTTCCACGCTTCTTTTGCAAACACCAAAATTCTAGCATTAAATTCTCCTCACAGATACTACAATATGTTGGCATTACGAGGCAGACTCGCTAACAAGCTATTCAGGTTTGTAAATGTATTTTTTAAGTTGTAATCGGGGCCATGGTTGGTTGGATATTCAGCTGTTTATAGTTTGGAAATCATGCAGTACACCCGGGAGTACAATATTCCGACATCTTTTATTCTGGATCCTCGTTCTTCAGTAATCAATTTTCAACTTTAAAAAGCTTTTAGAGAAAAATTAAAGGATAAGAGACGCAAAAAAGAATATAAATGTAAAAAAAAATGGTGCATTATTTTATGTACATCTTTTTTTTGACCAAAATTATTTTATAAAGGGCGTCTTATGAAAACACAAATTCTTATGTACATCATCATTTTAAATAGAACCTCATTAACAGTAATCTTTTATCACTTACAACCCACGACTTAGAATATTTTTAATACCAACATGATCCTATACCAAAAATGCGTGGGTGTATTTGGAATTTTTTTAAATGCTCGTGTGTAAATATAAACAATTGCTGGTACTGTTATCGTAGTTTGATAAGTTTTACACCGTAGTGAAAATAGGAACTGACGTTTCGGACGTTAGTCCTTCGTCGGAGTCAAACGCTAGTGTTTACTAGCCATCATCTGCAAATTGCTGGTACTAGTGAAACTCTGACCTCACCAATTCAATGGTGCATGTGCTGTAAGTTTTGTTCATAGGAGTACGGCAATACTAGTGGCATAATTTCTATGTCCAAGATATTGGACCAGTTTTTGTTTTTTTTAAGACATTGAACCATAAGCAACAGCTTTCAAGTGTCGAGGCATTGTGTGCTCTCACAAAGTCCTGGGGGGGGGGGGGTACTCCCGTATATTTGCTCTACGGGTATGTGCCGCCCTATAGGGTATGGTTTTTCGGCTTTTGGGTCTGGGGTAGGGTATCATTTTTTGACATTCTGTCTGGGATAGGGTATCATTTTTGTCTGGGATAGGGTTACGATTTGGCC